AGATATCCCGTGAATATACTTTTATTATTCCCCCTAAATCACACACGAATAAACCATTTAAAATACTTAGAACATGATCCAAGCACAGGGTGTTACAGAAATGAAGGTAATGGATTCGAATCTCGAAATTTCCTCGAAATTATGTCAACCTATATCACATTGTACGTTTTTAGAAAGGCCTTGCTTATAGTAACATTTTGGTGATAACAGAACTCAATTATCTCAATTCGTTTCAAAATAGCGGCAAATTTTGTGTATTTTTCGCGTATTGACGAATACCCAGTATTTTCAAAACTACTAAACATGTTTCCGTTCTGATTGAAAATTCGTAATTCTACTTATCACAGCTTTACAATGATGTGTCACATGTAATAATTTTCAAAGTTATAATTAATTTTTTACCAAAATTATATTTTTTGTAATGTTGGTAGCCCTGTAAATGAAAAAAAAAAAACTATGTCAAATAGCATATCATTTAAGCCTCTTGTCAAGATGAACAACTTTCCAATTTACACCTACTGTCTATTTCTTTTAGTATTTGAGTAATAAACCAAAAACTAAATTTTCTCTTTATGAAATGGATGTTACAGTACTTTCAAAAGTCTAAACACTTTTAAATAAGTTTGGTATTATTTGGTAATGCTATTAACATCTATATGGGACAATTTAGTTTTTGGATTATTATTAAAATACAAAAAGAAATAGACAGTAGGAACGGAAACATGTTTAGCGGTTTCGAAAATACTTTGTATTACGTCAATACGCGAAAAATTCACAAAAATTGCCGCGATTTTGAAACGAATTGAGATAATTGGGTTCTGTTTTTACCAAAATGTTACTCTAAGCAAGGTCTTTGTAAAAATGTACAATGTGATAGGGGTTCACATAAGGACATTTCGAGATTCGAATACGTGACCTTCATTTCTGGAACACCCTGTGCTTAAATCGTGTTCAAAGTATTTTAAATGAGAAATAAAAATAAAAATACCAAACTTTTTTAATTCGTATGAGATTTAGGGAGAATTAATTTCATTTCGCGTTTCTAGGTAAAAGTTACTCTCGTAAAAAGTATGTGCAGGGTGGGTTCACCCTGTAGAATCACACTGAAGTTAAGATTCATTCAACTTATTTTCATTGAGGAAAACTGCACCTTGTCCACATGACCTATTTCAATATCCAAAGTCAATAGGAAGTAAAAATGGAGATAACATTGAAAGTGGAACTTAAAGAGTTACTTCTTAAAAGTCATACACCTCGAAATGTCAGTCATTCACAATATTACAGTTGCAAATTGTATTACTTTTTAAATTATGAACCAGCGCTTCTAATCTTACAACTAAATTACGCAAACAGAGTTATGTCTGGGTTTTACGATTAGGGGAACAAAAAATGGTAATGGACTAGACACCAGTGACCAGTGACCACTGACCAGTGATTCGCAAGGTTGGTAACATCGTGGCCTCGGTGTGGCGATTCTCTTGACCCACATATGGCAGTGCGGCGTAAACTTTGCACACTCCCGGCAGTCGGCGACGAACAGTATGTAGTGTAGAGTGTGAGATGGACTCAATAACTCAATTCTGATCCGACACATTACACGGACAACTGTTCTAGGATATGATCATATCACATACAGTCATGACTTCTACTAATTGATAATGTACTGTAGTTGAAAAAAAAACCATTACTATTTTATTTTTTCGGATCAGATCAGATGGACTGAGTATACCAATATCATAAAACGAGGAATTAAAAAAAATAACAATAAATTATTAAATGGCCCCATTTTAAGTTGCTATTAATTTTTATGTATGGTAAAAAATATCCTCTTTTTTATCTTGACGCATTACAAAATTGGTGACCTCTCTCACTGTTCTAATTAGATTTAAAACTAATGTTATCTTATATCAACGATTCTGTTATAACTATTTTGGGATTGTCCCCAAATAGCAATTAGTTAATTAACTAATCAACTCTTTACATCATTGACGGTCAACTGAGTGCGTATTTGAAGTTGAATATGATTTATGGACGAGTGTGGGTAGGTGTAAGATTATGTGTAGATGTTTTACTGACTAATAATCAGCGTTTCCATTAACAGTCCAATGATCAAGGACAACTGTTTCTATTTTCGAAGAGTCCGGCGAGCATGTAGGTACAACATTTTAGCGTGCAATGAACAAAGCTGCTATTTCTTTGGTTTATCCTAATTTATCCGTTCCACAAAAAACATGTTAACCGAACGAATTTGTGTACTGAAATGAAATCAACCAATATATTTAATCTCCATCCTATAAGTTATAGCTTTGAATGATGTATGATCTGCAAAAACAACATTTTCTTCTCTACAGATGTTTTGATAGATAATTTACATAACGCTGGTGAAGAGTAGATAAGCCATATGAGAACATGAGTCTGATTTTGCCAGACAAACAGTTTTTTTCACTTGTTGATAATCACAAGGCTACAGAGTGGTGATAAGGTGGGCTGCCAGATGCTGATAGCTGAAAATACAGTGTGTTGCAGAACTTGCTACCAGGCAGATGGTGCCACATGTGTACAACTGTACATATGTGTATAATGTATACCCCCTTGGCATTTGTGGTCATTTAAAAATAATCCACCTTTGTACTGTACATTATAAATTCAGATACAATCTACAGTATTTGCTGTACATTGTTTACTGTTGGTATACATTGTGACAATCTGGATTTTTGTTTCAGAATTGTTACTACACTTTACGCCAGGTTTCCTTACTGATTGTAAGTACACTACTATGAATCATTGAATTCTTGATGAGTCTTGATGCGTTCGAAACATTCAGGTAGAAGAGTTGAAGAGTTAACTACTGGGGTAATCTATTTTCTGTTATACTAATAGGGATACTACAGCTGGGACAGGGGTAGAGGATTTTAATCCATACTACACGACTAGACAAAACCAAACCTCCTCAAAATCTAACATCACTTTATGTTTAGATTTTCACAAAATATGGCTGCTAAAAACTAATATATTTTTGCATGAAGTGGCATTTTTCGAACTTTTCAAAACCTGAATACACAATTGGCTTCAAAACAAAAATTACAACATGATAACCAATAACATAACCAAAGATGGAGACATCAATATGTGTACGACAATATGGTATTTACAAAATTAACTGCACTGATTGTGAACATTCTACATTGGTCAGGCAGGAAGTATGTTTGGATCTAGATTTAAAGCTCTCAAAAGGAAAAATCAAACATCCATGAAGTTAGATTTTGTCGAACATCTCTTATCAACCAGCCACGATTACAAAAATTTAACTAATAAAATGAAAATTCTTTAAAGTTCTAAACAATGGAAACAGAATGGATTCGACAGAAGAATACATTAAATATAAATAAAACCAGAAAAATTCTAATCAAATTATACATAACCAAACTCCTTCAAGAAACCTAATTATTTGAACAAAAATTTCAATCAGATAGGTATTATGTTTTATCTATGATATTACTTAATTTCAAAATTTCCAAATCCAGAACCTTTAAGGAATCACCTGTAAATTAAAATTATATTCACACAAAATGAACAAAGTTAAGTATTTGACTATTTATTAAAGTTGAAAATGGACTAAGTCCGAAAAACGTCACTTCATTAATAAATATTAATTTCTAGGTGCTCAGTGGTTTTTTAATTTACTACCTTAATATTACTTTAGTTAATGATCTGTCAAAAAATATCTAACCTGTATGGGTTAACAAAGTGAACAGATTATCTGCATACAATAATAAACTTTTAAAACAAATAATGTATGAATTGAAACTACATAGACGACACAATTTAAAGACAAACTCGAAAGCAGTTTTATAGTTTTTAGATGGTTGATTCTTAATTTATAACCTCACCGGCACAAAAATGCATTCCTAGAAGTGGAAAGAATCGTTAGAATTAAAACCAGAGCTTTGTGGGACGGTGACTTACGCTTTAAGTTATTAGGCGTTCTACAAGAGATGATAGTTAATTTCTTCCTGTTTTATCACATTTATATTTGATTCACTACTAATATTCTGATAGTTCAACTAAGTTGTTCTTTATCAGCGCCAATGCGGTTTATCAGTTATGACGTGTTTTAAAATGTTATTTATGAGATGAATAAATGCATTTTAACTTATTTTCCTCTAGGGAAGAAGCATTAACTGGCATGTTAGTGGTAATTAAGACCAAGGTCTAAACTATTCTCATTACTTATTTCGTTCCTCTCAGGTAAAGTCCTGGCTAGAGATCACGGAGGTCACTAAACTACAGTAATCTCGTAAAGATTTCCCAAATTCTAACTTCGTATTCTAAATACTACTTGGTTATATGCTGAGGTTATATATGAGAAATATGAATATGATATAAACAAATAACAGTACAAATAGTTTATAAGGTCATTTTTATAAAAAATATTGTACAGATGTGATATGTTGTAATTCAATGACTGTGTTGGTGTCCGTCCACGGTTCGTAAGTATACATTGTTCTTGGAGGAAACGCGTTCCTGTAGTTTGGGAGGCGGAAAACGAATCTCCTGACGATCCTCCACCCTTCGACGACGAAGACACTGACAGCAGATCAGATATAGCCAGATCTTGATACATACGATCCCACAGGAGACTAGGAACAACGCACCGTACACCACCAGGAACAAGGTCCATTCTCTCAGCGTCGCCATCACGGCATCCTGCAACAAGCAACAGTCAAACAACTACAGAAAGAGGTACCAGGAGACCAGGAACAAGGTCCGTTCTCTCATCTTCTCCTTCACTGTATTCTGCAACAAGCAACAGTCAACTACAGACAACAGGTACTAGGAGACCAGGAACAAGGTCCGTTCTCTTAGCGTCCCCATCACGGCATCCTGCAACAAGCAACAGTCAAACAAATACAGACAACAGGTACCAGGAGACCAGGAACAAGGTCCGTTCTCTCAGCGTCCCCATCACGGCATCCTGCAACAAGCAACAGTCAAACAAATACAGACAACAGGTATCAGGAGACCAGGAACAAGGTCCGTTCTCTCAGCGTCGCCATCACGGCATCCTGCAACAAGCAACAGTCAAACAAATACAGACAACAGGTATCAGGAGACCAGGAACAAGGTCCGTTCTCTCAGCGTCACCATCACGGCATCCTGCAACAAGCAACAGTCAAACAAATACAGACAACAGGTATCAGGAGACCAGTAACAAGGTCCGTTCTCTCAGCGTCGCCATCACGGCATGCTGCAACAAGCAACAGTCAAACAACTACAGAAAACGAAAACAGGTACCAGAAGACCAGGAACAAAGTCCGTTCTCTCATCTTCTCCCACACTGCATCCTGCATAAAGCTACAGTCAAGCATCTACAGACAACAGGTACCAGGAGGAACAAGGTCCGTTCTCTCAGCGTCGCCTCGCCATCGCTGCATTCTGCAACAGACCAGTTGTCTCTTTTGCATATAATCTGCTTGTAAAAAGTAAGACGATTGATTTGATTTGACTTAGCCTAAAGTTTAACAGCTGATTGAAAGTCAACCCACTGGATTTGTATATTAATCGTTCACTGTATTTGCATTTTCCTAGGAACCATTTCATGGCCTAACTAATATGATGCAAGAACTGAATCATTCATAATTAGTGGCAAAGGAACTGAATTGGCATTGATGAGAAGATTTTATCTCAATAATTCATCGCAGAACTTAGTCCACAAACAGTGCCCCACAGAAGTGTTGAAGGAGATATGCAAGTCTATCAACGATAAGGATGGGTCTGATGAGTCCAAATATGAGTCATTGCTTTGACAATGCTTTAACTCACATCTTTACAAAGTTTAGTTGGTCATTGGATGATTATGTTATACAGTGGCTGTATGTCTTAAGATGTTCAATAAACCATACTGTATTGTTATTTATATGTCCGTCAATGGGGCATGACAATTTATTTCCCATTCATACACACTTACAACCCTTGTAACGTACACAATATTCATAGTCCCTACAAATTCAACACTCCTTGTTCATATATATACAGTTTGTAACATCAAAGTTGTGACAGCAAAAGGTTCCTCATTTAAAACTTAATGAAGGTTTCTTAAGTAAAATCTCTCGCATTCGTTTAATGGTAATGGTTCTAATACTCTGGACATCTTGTTATTGAATTTTCTTTGTTGCTGTTAAAACTAGACCGCTTTGTACTTGGACAAAGATCGATGCGCATTATATTAACTACTAAGCCACTTTTACTTGTTATCATCTTTTTACTACGACCTTAACATACCTCTAAACTTGAATGAATATAGCAACGCCCCTTCAATGCATTGTTCTATTGAAGGTTACAGATTAGCACACGGTGGTAGCATTATCTCAAAGGTTATTTAGTACAGTATGTTTATCGCTATTACGTAACATATGGGATTAGGTTTTGCAAATGGATCGAGTTTATCTAGTAATTGATGACACTTACTAATAGTTATATTTGTGAATTGAGATATAATAATATTTGGCAAGAAGTTCGTAAAATGTTACAAAATGTACTATGCTATTCATAATATGTAGAATCGTTATATTAAGCGTATTTTATAAGATAATTACTTAGGAGAGAAATAAACTACGACTGTGGAACTCCGTCCATAAATGAAGAAGGACGTAAAATAAGTTTACTTAATCGTTCCACAATCGTAGTTTATTTTTCTCCTTTTTAATTGTTCGTTAAATATACCAACGACACACTGTAATTGTTTAAATATAGTATAACAGTATTGGATGATTACGTGCCGGAAGCGACCGTGCTAGAAGCGACCCAGCCAAAATCGTGCCAGAAGCGACCCAGCCAAAATCGTGCCAGAAGCGACCCAGCCAAAATCGTGCCAGAAGCGACCCTGGTAGTAGCGTGAGTGCCACTAGCGACCCATTGTTTGATAAAGGATTTTACAATGTTTTGTTCAAATCGGATTAACAAAAAACAAATCTTACTGAATCTATAGATGGTCGTATTTGGATTTGATACTAGTTTTACTGAATACCACCAACAATAAATTAAGTAATTTAAGCAAATTGATCAGCAATAACTAGCCGTATTTTTAAAACTATATGTGACTTATCTTTGTGAACTATATTAGTCATACACTTTTATCAAAAGTTAATGGTTATTTTACATTATTGAACTAATTGTAATATTTTCATCCTACTAAAAAAAAAATCACGTACGCCATTTTATGTTATCCGTCCAGACTTTATCCAATATAAATACGAGACATAGGATACTTAAATTATGTCATTATTTGATATATAATTTATTACCTTGTCTCGAAGATGTTGTAGTAGGAAGCCAGCGCACGAGCCGAGGAAACTAAAAATTATCAAGAGGAAAACATTTTCTAACCTAAGTTTTGAAAGTGGATCAACATGGCCGCATCTGATCAGCTGTGAACTGTGAACTTCAGTGTTACCAACACAACCAGATTCACTCAAATTATGGCTCAATGTACCCGATCTTCGACCCTCTCTGTCAATAATAAGTACAGTCGCGTCTCGTTGACGGTACAGTCGTCGCCTCTACAAATAGCTCCTTCTCAAACTGTATTCCTCCATTAGCCCTAATATCCACATAGCAAAGTAACTACCACGGTGGTATTCCTGGTAGGGCAATAGATAAAGTTGGTTGGTCCATGCACTATATATATACACATACTGGTAATTGGTATATGGTAGGACCTAGGCGTGGAAAAGTAATGTATAATGTGTGATCTAGTGTATATAAATAGTAGAATACAGTGCAACATTAACAGTGTATGTTGTCAAATCAATGTTTATGCAAAGATAGGCTATTATATACTAGTGATTTTACCATTAAGTGAAAATAGACAATTACTGTATTTATATTGCTGTAAACCCCGAAACGAGTGTTGATGCACGTTCCGTGCTGGTGACGTTTGAGTGCACTGGCGTCAGATACGAATAGCTTTCATGAACAGCTTTTTACTTAAATCGGACAGAACTAATTTTATCAAGTCTTCAGGTGATCCCATGGGAGTATTTTTTAGAGAAATGCTTATGCTGAAGTTTTAATATTACTTGAAGAAATATTTAGTAGGGCCTATAGTACAAAGCAAACAGATCATAATCCTTACCTACATTAATTATTGTTTTTTACTCGATTCTTCCTTAAGAAATGGCACCGGATTAGTCACAAAACATTCTTTAACTAGGCAAGTAAATACGTATACGCTTCTCAACACTTGAAGATACTACGACTACGCTGGTGCAGCGTTTCCCATTCCGTTCAATGCTTGGATTTAACATAACCTAAAAACGTTATGTAATGTTATAAAACGTTATAGTGTGTTTGAAAGACTAAATTATTTATATGCTTTACAATAACTGTAGGAAAATACTTCGCACACTAGTTACACAAATAACTATTGTTGTAAACCATAAAATATTATGTCTATATCCTAAACTCTTATATGAGCAATGTTTGTTTGTATGATTGCTTGCTTGCTCGCACAAAGATCTTGATGACGGCTTCGACGATTTCCTAAAAACTATACCGAGCCATGTCCTGGTCACCCTGTACTATTATATTGTTTTGAGCAAGGCTCAGTGCCCCGGTACTATTATATACAGTAGTTCAAGCTGTGACATTGACATTATTTACAACGAACTATGTCTACAGTTGACGCAAACTCAAGATAAATTAGACATGGACTGACTTAGCCACAAATCATAGATTCCATGTGTGCCGGCAGTGGACAGCGATACCTGTTAACATTACTTGTTACTGTTACACTGATCAAATAAAGTAAACAACAAGATCAGTGTCAGCCACCATCGACAAACATGTTGTCAACCGAGCAGTCATACAGAGACCACTGGCAAGGGAGTTCTCAACAGTCGTTACAATGGTGGAATTCAAATTGATGACGAGCTAGTTGACAAATATACACATTATTGTTTTTCTCTGAGGCATACAATTACATAGATTTCCTGTTATCAACATATTAATTCAGTTATATGGCAAGCTGGTTTATATGTACACGGTTTACGTACATAAAGTTACGTAAAATATTACGTACACGGTTTACTTTGAATAATTTAGATGATTAGTGATATCCAATAGAAGTCAATCAATTATATCAATTATTTAAGATGGAGACGCCACTATGTGCGTATTTTAACCCAAATATGAGTGAAGGATGAGTGTAGGATGAGTGGCACGATCTTGTAGTCTTGTTAGTGACTAAGGCCATAACAAAATCATCAATTTTTACACGATCTCTAGACACAGCTGTTAATTAATAGCCCATACAGCTAATGGCAACTAAGGGTCCTACAGTTCATAGTGGAATCCGAACCACATTTTAACCTTGGTATTAACGAATTATTCTAACTATCAGATAGTCATACTGTGAACACTGAATAGATGGGCAGCTCAGTGGTTAAAGTGCTCCCTAGAAGGTCGCTGGTTCGATCTTGTGAAAAGTCAGTACCTCTTTGATGGTCGAAACTGGTCCCAGCTGTCCTTTATAATTGGTCTTTAAATAAATGGTCTGTACTAAATAAACAGCTGACCTTACCAACAAAGCTAAACAGATCATCTCACTCTATTCTACCCTCTTCGTGCATCCATACTCCAGCTTAAAATACGCACCTCAGAGTAAGAAGCTATCTCAATGAATCGAATCAAAACTTCCAACTACGTTTATTTCTTAACATTGCCAGATAAATTATATTTAGAGCTAGGTGACTGATGTACGTAGATATAATGTTGCACAGTTCTCAAGTTGTTCTCAAGTACCTATACTCGAGTCCATTGACCCCTGCACAGCTATTAGCCGTACTCCGCTGTCCGCAGGGAAGTCTTATACATAGTACAGTAGTTGTTTATATCGTTGGTCTTTGGAGACTGGAGGAAGGAAGGACACAGTTGCACCAGTCCATGGCCGCGCCTCCTACACACGCCTAACCGGTTCCAAGAGGAGAAATTTACCATAAACCCAAAATAAACACACAACCAAGCTTGTTTTGAAGAGGACGTATTTTTAAAGTACCCAGCTGTTCCCGATCAGTAGGCTTTAAATAATTGATCATGGCTAATGAAACACAGCTGGTCTTAAGTCAATGGGTTTGGACCGCTTTCCCTTAAAAGTGTTTGACTTCATTACAAAAATGCCGCTGGCGTACATACGAGCAAAAAAAAAAAAAAAATCTACACAGATCATCTCACTCCATTCTACACCCATCCTTCACACAATTGGGTTAAAACACTCACCAAGGTGGCGTCCCCATCTCAATTGATAATAATGATAATGATAAAGTTACAGACCTGACCAAGTTTAAAATAAACCTATTTCCACAGAGAAAAGAAATCCGAGGTATTACTCTGTGGCTGTTTACCAGTCCAATTTCCTTCATTGTTCTACTGGTCTCTCTACTGGTCGAGAAAAATGATTAACTGCTTTAATTTGGAGACTTTTATGTCATATACAGTTTATTTCTTACGTTTATGTAGTATTGCTTCCTTCATGTTTTATAAATAAGATATCAGCTTTTACCTATAGCAATTGTAAGAAACTATACGGAGACCTTTGGCGTAGGTTATAAAGTTGCGGTGTTGCTGATATAAACTTTACAAAGATTATACACGCAAATAACAGGTCAGCACTTACCACAATAGTTGACTGTGTAGAGAAATAGTCAAATAGATGTCCCATTTCTATGTTAAATTTGTAGCCATTTTTAGAATGAATATAACGCGGTTGAATTAAGCAAACGCTATACACCTGTAGAGGTGTATAGTCAATGCTATTACTGATGTCTATTGGAAACCAGACTTTTGACGAATCTCAAGCGAAAATATAACATTGGAATAACGCAAACTATAGCATCTTTAATGTTACATAAATGATCGTGATCAAGTATTAAAAATTAAGAATTAAAATTAATAGTAGACTCTTTGGACGGTTCATTAGACTATAATTGATTTGGCTACATCTAATCCATTCCATATACTGTTGATGTCCAGTATAGTATACAGCAAATCAATCCTACACATCTGTTGCAACCCGTTCAATGGTAGGGGTCTAATGGTTTTATGTTATTTTTGTCGACAGCTAACGCGATCTATACATGTTATTGTTCTAAGTATATCTACGTCATAGACAGTATCTTGACATTATCTGGTGTGTTAAGCTTTTATTAATGACCGGTCATTGCATCAGCCAACGGTCCGGGCTTGGGGCGCCGCTAATCATCTGTTCAACAATCAACAAAGCTCAACCAATCAGCTGACGACCCCTTGTTGACACGCCCAGGTGTTTGTTATTTTAACGTTAATGGTGAGGGGATTTCCAGATACCTAATTTGATGTTATGTTTTGATACTATACGATTAATATACATTCAAAACAATAAGTGTGTCCATAGTCAGAGAAAAAGAGGATATGACCTTAAAAAATTGCAAGAAAACGTTTTATGGTTTTTATTTGGTAGTGTTGGGTCTGCAGAGTGACATACTAAAAGTTGCTAAAAATCGGTCGACAGGAAACCACCTAAAATCACTATTTAAAATGGCGGCGTTACCCATCATTGGCCAAATTTGAAAGAAATATACCACATGCATTATTTTATTCAATTTTTTTAGACATTGACTTGGGACGACCACAGATGTTTATTGGGTGGTTACTACTTTATTTCGATAGGGAACTCATTTTTGGCCGCCATCTTGGACCCACCATATTAGATATAAATAAAAAAAATCAAATGTAGGCCTAATGATAACGTTGTGACACATCATTATAAACTAGATTTTCACGCAAATTTCAATGCCGAAATCCATTTTTAAAATTATGTTTACGTTTTGAAGATATATTCAAATGAAAATTCTCCCCCATACATTTCTTATGGATGTTTCGTACTTTCGTAGATTTTTTAAGACAATTTTTCTTATATCTCCAGTTCTTATCAACGCTTGCAGTTCAGTCTAGCCTTTAAATATTCTGTAATGTAAGGGGCTTTCATTTGGCCTATTGATCATTCAAATCGAACGAGTTAGAGACGAGCTATGATCCCCAAACCAATATTAAATTTAACTTTTTTGAAATCTTTTTTTATTAAAGGATTTGTATCTCACGTTGTTAAATACGTCACAAAGTTCTTTGTGGTCTCAAATTACTCATTTATTGTTTTGCTTTAATTAATAAAATCTGGCAAATTTAAAATTAGCAGAGTGCCTTAATTTAACATAAAATTATTTTTATTTTGAAATTTGTCTTTAGTTAAATGGTATTATGTCACCAATTATAAATAACTCCCAAAACTCATAATGGTGTTAAATAATTCCTCAAAGTATTGACTTTTATTTTAGCTAAAGATTACTTATGGATTGTTTTTTATAATTGGGTATATATGTCTTAAACCAAAGACAAACTTCTAAATAAAAATAATGTAATGTTAAATGAAGGTCCACGAGTCACTTTAGATTAGTCAGATTTTATATAGTGATTAATAAAATTAAAGCCAAACATTTACTAAGTAATTCAAAATCAGAAAGAACTTGGTGACGTATTAACAACTCGAGATAAAAATCTTTTAATAATAAAAGATTTCTAAAAAGTTAAATTTAATATTGTTTTGGAGATTGTAGCTCGTCGCTAACTAGTTCGATTTGAATGATCAATAGGTAAAATAAAAGCCCCTTACATTACAGAATATTTAAAGGCTAGACTGAACTGCAAGCGTTGATAAGAGCTGGAGATATAAGACAAATTATCTTTAAAAATGTTCAAAGTACGAAACGTCCATTAGAAACGTATGGGGGAGAGTTTTCGTTTGAATATACTGTATATTCAAAACGTAGACAGATATTTAAAAACGAATACAGAACATATATTTCGGCATTGAAATCGGCGTGAAAATCTATTTATAAAGATGTGTCACAACGTTATCATTACATTTAATTTTTTTTATTAATATCCAATATGGCGGATCCAATATGGTGGTCCAAAATGAGTTCCCTATCAAAATGAAGTACTATTTACCCCATAAACATCCGTGGTCGTCCCAAGTCAATATCTCAGAAAATTTTGAAAAAAATATGCATGTGGTATATTTTTTTCAAATTTGTCCTATGTTGGGAAAAGACACCATTTTAAATCGTGATCTTAGGAGGTTTCCTGTGGACCGATGTTTGGAAAATTTTAGTATGTCACTCTGCAGACCCAACACTACAAAATAAAACCATAAAATGTTTTCTTGCAATTTTTTTAACGTTCCCTGTGTCAGTTTTTTTAGTTTGCTTGGACTACCAGAGAATTGTTTGATAGACCAATACGACTACATCCATCCTCAACAATGTCATAGTAGCCTACTTAAAACGCTTAGTAAATTAGTCATACTAAAATTTTTAAATTTTTAAAAATTATGATTAATTTATCATATTAAATTTAGTTAAAGAAATTAGGTCTTAAGCTCCACTATAAATGTATTGAATACCAATACTTTTCGATGTATCAAAAATAATATTATTAATTTTTCTAAAATGTGAAACGAATGATTTCTGTATTAATTTTGTAACGGTATTCTTAAATTGATTTTAAATAATATTTAACTCCGAAATAATTCTATTTTGGTGAAGTGTGATATACTTGGTTGATCAGAATGCCTTTTACTCTGTGTTTGGTCGGATACCGATGATTTGCGACCTATCGCTCATCGTGAATTCTGGTACTTAGAAATAATCCTCATGCACGACAGCAAAAATACAAAAATATGCACAGTTATTTTCGTCTCTAGTTGACAAGACTTTGGATTTTATTGATATTAAATCCACAAACAAAAAATATACTGGCTATATTTATCAAAATTAGGCTCAAAGAGCAGCCTGTGGGCCCGCCCATCTGCGTCACCGGGGCTGCGTGCTGATAAGGTGATATCTGGACTGATAAGACACTAGGTGATGTCACAAGGTCACTCGTCAGAACACACCCTCCTCACTCCCCAGCCGTCGTCTGCCGAGACAAACAACAGCCCAACAGGGAGGACCATCTCAAAGTGCAACTTTTTAACACAAGGCTAGGAAACGTAAACAATTTTTTAGAGTTACTGTATTGAAGGCTATGACCTTTGTTTGTTTGTTACAAGTTGTGGAATAGTCTGTGTACAGTCAATGATTGAATATAGTTTTTACAGCGCTAATAATACATGCATAAGTAATGCTGCATGGTGGCAGTATGGGAAATTAACAGCTGTGTCTAGGAATAAGTCGGCCTTTTGTCACTAACAAGACTACAAGATCGCGCCACTCACCCTACACTCATTCATACTTGGCTTAAAATACCTACTTTGTATGGTCGCCATTTCATTGAAAAGTATTAAAGTATTAAGTAATAAATACATTAAAAAGTATTCATTCATACATTATTCATTTCCAGAATTATTTGACCGTAGATAAAGGTTCAAATAATTATGTAAAAAAATAATTCTCTCCTGAAAGGTGCTGCAGTGTTGTATTTTCCTTGATATTGCGTCATAAAAATTAAAAACAAATTAGAGGATGAATAAGAGCACATACAAAATATAACGTATGGCCGATCGGTATTCATTGTTTGATATTGTTTTTATTATACATTATGAGAATTCCCATTTATACGTGTACAATTCACATAATGCAACTCACACTTTACCACCTAACCTACGTAACTAGTGGAAATTTCCATTCGTAAACTGCAATACTACAATTCGTTAGTAAGATTCCACTTGAGTTTCAGAGAACCATTTACGTGCTTATACAGCAAGGCTGATAATGCCAGTGCATGTTCGCTCTTTGCGTCTGTATCTGCAGATGATGTAACTGCTGCCACCATTTGTATCATATATTTTGGATCTGCTTTTCTAAAGGTTAGTTAGTTTCATTATATATTTTTATGTGGTTCATTAAGGTATTTACCCTTGAAACACGTTATGCTTGTGTACCAATCAATTTAAATGACAACGTAATACTTGTCCAGGAGAAAAGGTCACTACTTGTCACAATCACAGCCCCCTCTTTAAATGCAATTTTGCTCAAACCAACTTCGTAACTAACCCGTATGAGCGATAACACACTCTTTACAGCAAAACTCTTGACATTTCCCTCCAGTTTTATTCAACGAAAAATAGAATTGTACTTAACTGAACAATTTTTTGCCATTCAACTCTTTTGGAACACTTACATATACACTCGAGTTAGAAGGTAATTCTCAAACAATTCCCTAACAATCTCTTATTGGGATTTATCTACTTTCTGAGACTAGTGTAGCTGTGTACTTGTTTAGTGTTATCGTTGGAGCGGTTGCCCAACGATTCCTTTACAAAGGAAATTATACTTGTCTTATCGCTTTTAATCAATAGACAGAAGTTCTAGTAACATGAGCGATCAGCCACGGGTCAGGTATTATCATGTAGCCACAAACCATCGGCGATTTGCGGGATTTGAACCTGAGACATTGTTAATCACTGGACCAGCCACGCACCATTCAAGGCAAGAATAAGTTGTATCATATTTACGTTATGGAATCGTGGGATTGTAGGTTTACAGTTGATGACATACATGTTTTCACCGTAACAAACACAGCGATTGGCGGCATTGGCGCCTTGTGGCTTGTTTCGAGTGTAATCCAAGATAAGCAAGTAATTGGACTGACTCACTCCCAATTGGGCTGTAATTGACGTTTCGGCGCACCACCCTCTTCACCTTAATTGGATCATTTACTACCGCATTCAATGTTCATGGTCATATACATTCCCAAGAGTTACATAAGAAATCCCAGAGTTACGAAAAACATCCACTCAAATTTTGTTTTCCCAAGAAAAGTCAACTTTGCTTAAGAAATTGATGAACTTCTCAAGCTATTTTAAGATCATATGTATTGTTGCTTATATCTTGAGATTTACAAATAACACAAGAAAACCTGAAGAAGAAAGAGAAAAGGGGTCTTTAAACAGCAGTGAAATTGAGAAGTCTACAAAAACAATTGTCAAACTTATCCAGGAAGAATGTTTTCAGGATGAAATAAAGCAACTGAAAAAACATGGACATGTCAAAAACAAGAGTAAACTGAAAAATCTATTCCCATTTTTGGACGAGGAGGGTCTCTTGCGAGTTGGAGGCAGATTGGCAAATGCAAATATACCGTTTGACATGAAACATCAATTGTTATTGCCAGGAAAGCATCATTTTTCAAAACTTCTGATTAGAAATGAACATATCAGACATCTACATGCTGGCACTCAATTGGTTCAGAATGTAATACGACAAAAATATTGGATTATTAACATCAAGAATGAAATAAAGTCAGTTATTCGGAGTTGTACAACATGTATCAGGTACAAATCGTCAACAGCTTCCAATATAATGGGTAATTTACCAATCTCCAGAGTCAATGTTGGAAGAGCCTTTAGTAAAACAGGAATAGACTTTGCCGGTCCTATTACTACAAAAAGGATGGGAGGAAGAGTAAAAGTATTCTTAAAGAGTTATGTTGCACTATTTGTTTGTTTGATTACCAAAGCTGTCCACATTGAATTAGTTTCCGATTTAACTTCAGATGCCTTTTTGAGCGCTTTCAAAAGATTTGTTGGTCGAAGAGGATTTCCTAACGACATGTATTCTGACAACGCAACCAATTTTAAAGGTGCCTATAACCAACTACACCGTGAAATTGTCAAGTCCGATTCAATTTCGAGATTTTCTCAAGAACGAAGTATCAACTGGCACTTCATTCCTCCATCATCACCACACTTTGGTGGATTGTGGGAGTCAGCAATTAAATCTATGAAGATTCACCTAACTCGAGTAATGGGCGATCAAGTGTTAAACTTCGAAGAACTCTCCACTTTACTGGTTGAAATCAAAGCTTGCCTTAATTCAAGACCATTATCCCCTATGTCTAATGACCCAAGAGACTTAAATGTTATTACACCTGGGCATTTTCTTATTTTTGCTCCTTTAACCTCAGTTCCTAACCGAGATTTGACTGGTGATAAAATTAATCACGTAAAAAGATGGACACTTGTAACACAAATGAATCAACATTTCTGGAAGAGGTGGTCTCTAGAATATTTAAATAACTTACAACAAATGGACGGAGGTAACAAAGAATTTAAAGGTCGGAGATCTAGTCATCATCAAGGAAGAAAATATTCCTCCATGTAAGTGGCACACTGCCAGAGTAGAAGAAGTACATCCAGGAACTGATGGAATAGTACGTGTGGTCACCTTAAAAACGACAAGTGGAATAATCAAACGATCCATCTCAAAACTGATTGTCATTCCAACGGACTGATCTTGAGATACAGGGTATCTCAAGGGGCGGAGAATGGTTAGACTTTACCATAATTTCTTTATTTAAGTCATATGTTTTCTAATTATTAAAATGTTAGCGTTTACTTTCAAAAATGTAAATAAATATTGAGTTGAGTGAGTAAATGAATGAGAAAACCATGTCCACTTTTCTGAGTAAATATCTATAATTTCTTTAGATTGGTCAAGTTCACCACAATTTATTATGTCATCATAGATCTACACTCATGTCGCACCCAAAATTTGCCATTCTTGGATTCTATCTAGTACTTGAAAACCTCAAAGTTCTATTTTATTAGAAGAAAAAACACCAGCGACAATTTGTGGTATTTTAATAACATTTGAAAATCTGATCTTGTTTCAGATGTCTACCTTTTAGTAAATTAATATTAGACATCTATAGTCTAATTCTAATTTTTGGAATTGAATAAAGTTTTAAAACCAACAGGCATCGTAGTAGGGTGCGTATTTCTGCTGTATTAGTTTCAGCCTACATCGTGGTCTCGTAACTTGGCTCCTTAGGAAAATGTCTTTGATAAGCAAATATAATATAATATAATTTCATAGTAACATTATGATTGAGGCACGAATTTGATATTTTGGAAATTCATATTTATTTTGAAATTAGAATTTAGTTATATTGTGCCTATTAGCCATAATGTATTATATTAATTATTCCAATCTACTATGAACAACGAAAACTACCAAACCCATAGATAGTTCTTTATAAAGCTTTCTCTGTTATGAGAAACGTTTTCAGACTTTATGACGTTTTTAAACGATTTATAGCATAGAAGAACTGGATTGCGGATTGCTTAGCTGCAGTAATATGGATAAATAACTTATCTGCATTTACAACAACACATGAACAACAACAACAACAAGGTAGGACTATAATGGGTAGGCCTACTACCCACTGTGACCGTGACCTTGACAACAGCTGGGATGAGGCTCCACACAGTCTCTCATCACCTCACACCTCACACCTAGCTCAGGTTATAGCTGTGTAGCTGGTGTATATTGGTGGTTGATATACATCTACAGATATAATTACAGCAAGGTAGGACGATGATGGCTACTCACTGTGACCGTGACCTTGGCAACAGCTGGGCTATGGCTCCACACAGTCTCTCATCACCTCACACATAGCACCTAAGGCCGCGGCCTTCGATGTGGCAACGCCGCGACTCATCCCCGCCCTGGTCCAACTCCGGGTATTACCGCCAGCGTTAAAACGTGCAATATTTCGCCAAAACTGCGCTTATTCACGTTTAAAGCTATGGAAATGTAGCCAGATCAATAGATTAATTTTTAGCATGAAATGCCGCTTACCATTTTTCAGATTGTATTACGAAATACTAATTAATACATGTTTATATAAACGTATATCCACCACTTAATTCCAACCCTGAATATATGTTGCGCATAATGCACAAGCGATATACATTTGTGATAAAACGTAACCATTTTGGACCCTAATGAGTTATGAAAATATATACTTTTACAAAAGGGCCTAGGTTCCCTTAAAATTCTTTTTCATTTTATTATGAACTGGTCGTCTAGTTGTCGAAAACTCGACCAAAAATATGTAATATTCAGACTTATCTATTAACCCACGTTGTAAATTAAACATTTTATTGGAATTTCTTTCATTTGATTTGTTTCTTACTACTTCTGTTCATTTCTTTGTAATTTTGTCACCAGC